GATAAAAAAAGGTACTCAAGGACACTAGACCTTGTATTTAGTACATTTGCTGTAGAAAAGCTAATGAAACCATTATGACAGAATTCCAGCAACTGCTGTGTATCAAATGTAAGACTTATTTATAGCTAACTCAAGGCTCAAATTATTGCACTTATTTCTCTGCTTATGTGATGTAATGGGCTTGAAATCTATCTGGGTGGAAGAAAATGCTTCATCTGTCTTGTTTTGATACTGGACTGATCTGGTATCAGATGCTTGTGACTATCTAAGAAATGGTTCTCACCAATTACCATCAGGACTTCTGGCCTGCTATGATCCTCCTACATAATTCACTCTGCCAGGCATGGACTTCTGGTTAGTCCCTTTGTGTAAATGGAAGGATCCCAGTTTTAAGATCTGACACCATTCATTTGGAATTAGCTATTCCCCTTACACTTGGCAGAGGCTGATGGGCTCTATTAGAGGAATTTCAAAATCTTTACTTTTTATTCCCTCCCTTAAAATATTCTCCATAACTTTTTGGTAATTTCATAACAGCTTGCTGATTGGTTAGGTTGCTGTTTTTATGTTGTTTTACATATATTTAAAATTGCACGCATATCATTTGTATCCTGATTACTGTACAGCAAGTAGCTTATAAATAAAAATATGTATAGAGAATTGACAGTTATTTAGGCCACTGTGTCCAACCCCTTGCTCAGTGCAGGAATCCATAATAAAGCATCCCTGCCTAGCTTATGCTTGAACAAATCCTCTCCAGGTCATTGGTTGATGTTGGACTACTTTTACTGGTAGTCTTCTAACATTCAGTTGGAATTTGCCTCCTTGTAACCTAAGTCTATCATTCCATGTCCTGCATTCTGGAATGATACGAAACAGAACTTGATCTCCTTCTGTGTGATATTCCTTCAAGTAAAGGGCTCTCATGTTCCCTTTGACTCTCCTCTTCTCCTGGACAAACATTCTCAGTTCCTTCCACCTCTCTTCAGAGGATTTAATTTCTAGTCTTATCACCCTTGTTGCCCTTTTAAAAAAAAAATCGGTCCCAGTTTCTCTGAATCCCTCAAGAGTTATGCCCAGACTGGATAAAGTACTTGAGGTGGGATCTGACAAATACAGAATAAAGCGGAACTATTACTTTCCATGATTAGGAAATTATGCTTGGATTGATGCAACCTATAACTGCATTTGCTTTTTTTTTTTTTTTTTGCAGCCATCTCACAATGCTGACTCATACTTAGCTTATAATCAGCTACTATTCCAAGATCAGTTTTACAAGTCCTATCGCCAAACCTGCCCTATATCTGCACATTTTACTTTTGTTTCCTGAGCAAAGAACTCCATAGTGCTTTTTTAACCCATTTCACAGGCATATCAAGATAATTTTTAATTCTATTTCTTAAAATACTGTCTTAGCAGTTGGTAGACATCTGGGTTCCACAGGTAAAAGAGGTTATACCTGGCTAGTATTGTGATGAGAAATCACCAGGGAATACCAGAGCAGTAGGAATACTAGAGCAAGGAATATCAGAGTGGCAAATGAAAAACAAGCACACCCCCCACTAAAAGATAATAGTGAATCACTACAATTTTGTAGTTGGCACAGGAGCTTGAATGCTGGCGACACAGGAGTTATGTTCTGAAGGGAACAGAACCATACATAGATCCACTCGCTCAGCATTCATAACTGCATACACAAAGCACATTCTGAATAGAGGGAACTGCCTTCAAAGACAAACAGTGAATTCTTCTAGCCCAGTACAGTCAACTCTGATTGCCAGCAACTCTTTAGGTTCTCCATCATATAATCAGTCCCATCCCTTGATTGTTTAACTGGAGGGCTGCCAAGGGCTGTACTTCAGACCTTCCACACACCAAGCAGGGGAACATTGAGCTCCTGCCATTCCCTTGAAGTTATCTGAAGCAGAACTGCTCTTTCTGGCAGGGAATTAAAACGTCTTTTCTCGAGTCCCTTCTGGGCCACCTGTGTGGTTGATGAGCTGCATTCTACTTGGTTCACAACATATTGTGTAGGCCCTTGACCAAGACCACACCATCCTTAAACAGGAGATTGCTGTTTGAGATCTATGAAAAGTGCGTCGTGACTGGAAAGCTTCAAAAGCTATTCCTGGAACTGTGAAAGGTAGTAATACATTTCTAATAATCTGTTTGTAAACAAGACAGTCTTGTGAAGCACATAGGAATGTGCATGGAGTTCTCATTCTTCAATCAGACATATTTTTCCCAGACTGAAGAACAGTTTCCACAGTCACATACTGTATGTCATAACTTCCACTGCTTCCACCCCCATAAATGCAGTATGCACACACAAAAAGACAGCTGAGCCTATAACCCTGAAATTTTTATTGTGAGTCACCTTCAATGCAGTCAAGCATTTGGCTTCACACCACAGTTCCAGCTTGGAAGCTGGCTTAATAAATATGAGGAGGATTGGAAATCTATTTTTAAAAAGAGTCATCATGGAATGTTGGCTGAGAAACTTGTTAAGTGTTAGGACTGTTTCATATATATTATTATACATTTATTTGGCACTTAAAATACACTTAGCATTTTAAGTCCACATTTAGTGCTGAATTAAACTGGGGAAACCCAGGCCCAAGTCCTCCCTATGCCAAAAAGATTTGCTGGTTGAATTTGGGCCAGTCACAGGACTGTTGTTGTGCAGTAAAGTTGGAGACGGGAGTGCTGTGTTTGCCACTTTAGGTTCCTGGAAGAAAGGTGGGATAGATTATCAAATAAATCAATATCAAGGAGATGCAACCTTTTTCCTTTAATTTGGCCTTTGAATAGCATGCTGAAGGTCATACTCCTCAAAAGGGGAAAGTCTAGAATGTAACTGTAACTTGATTAACATTAATTAAATGCAGGTTAAAATTAATTAACTGCAGAGAACATGATTTCCCTGTCAAATACAATTCAATGACAAGTTTAGGGAAGCCTATACTGGCCACATAAGGCTCTAAGGCATCAGATTGGTACATCCCTAAACTCCATGAAAATCAGATAAGAGAGAAGCAGGGATCTCTCTCTCTCTCTCTGCATGGGCTCACAAACGCCAATTGCCAAGAATGGCACTATCTGCTGATCTGTTAACTTTTCTGCCATCTAATAATGAATGGCCTGGTTCAAGCTCTTGGTTCCCCACTGGAGAACCCCCTCCCCGATCCAGTGCTGCAGTCCAGTCCCTTCTCTAAAGTAGGTCTGACACTATAGTTCACTTAGAGCCAGTGCTGAAAATGCACAAGGCAAGAAGCTCTTAACTTGCAGATTGTTGATGAGACCTCTTGCAACTGCTCTATCTACAGCTATTTAGGAAGAACAGCCTTGCTAAGCAGTTTTGTTTGTTTCATGCTTGTGAAATGTCACGCATATTTATTCTGTCTGATTTTTATTTTTCTCAGACTTAAAGGCCACTTCAGTCATGAACTGACTCTAGGGGGTTTGTGTTCCCAATTACAGTAAAAAATATTGACTTGGTGATTGCAGACCATTGGTGTAAAACTACTGCCCTTTTTTTTTTTTTTTTTAAGATTTATGCCCTGCCTTTTCTCCAAGAGCTAAAGGTGGCTTACATGGAGAACTCCTTCATTTTTATCCCCAATTAACAGCCCTGTGAGCTATGTTGGGCAGAGAGACAGTAACTGGCCCAAAGGTTCCCCAGTGAGCTTTCATGGCTGAGGTTGGATTTAAACCTGGTTCTCTCCAGTCCCAGTCCATTACTTAGACCATACACTACAGTGTCAATGGCTATTCCTCTTCCTTTCTCATCTCCTTTTTCTTTGTGTGAATTTCTGGATTTCAACCTGAGGACAGGAGAAACTGCCTAGTTCATCACTTTTTCCTGGAAGAAGTAGTGTTATGAAAACAAAGCATGGAAAACTAAGACTGACTGCAGAACTTTCCTTGGTGCAGAATTTTTCTTTTCTTCTAATTAAGAATAGATTGATACAATTACCTTTTATACATTCCCCCCACACCCATGAGAAAAATTCCATTTCTTAGCTCTTCTTAGGCTACCTTAGCGATGGACCAGATGAGAGTCAACAGATGAGAATGAACAACAGACTGCAAAGCAGCACTTGTAGTCCAAGGGGGACATGAAGTTTTTCTGACCAAAAATGCTGCGTGTAGGATTATAAACATCCTGACAAGCATATAATCACCAATGTAAACAGCACTGTAAGTTGTAAACATATCCTAAAGGATAATGTTGCAATACAACTTTCAGAATCCACAAGTAGCATAGCTAATGAACTGAATAACTTCTTCGCTGATCAAAAATGAGGCCTAAGCATTCTGCATGACTCTTTGCTTCCATTCTGTGAAAGCAGATGTTCAGTTGTGTGAATAAGACTGAATCATATACATTTGTTTACTCTGCTTCTATAAAAGATACAAAATTTGGGTTTTCTTGGCACTGAATTTGGATTATCGTGACAGCGGATTTTTAACAGGGATTCATATGCTCTTGGGCTGCAGCTTTTAATGGCATCCATCATGTTTGTTCCTGAACAGTGGTAACTCAGACTCCAACCAGTATTTTAAAGCATTACACAGGAGTAGGCTCAGGGAGACTAAGATAAAACCCAAGTCTACTTTCTTGCAGAAATGAAGGCAATTATTTTCTATCTTTACCAACATCTACAACTACAGAAACCAGGAAAGTTATAGGAGGAAAGGGGTGGCAAAGAACATAATTAATTATGAGGGCAAGAATTGTGACATTTGTTCAGTAAAATATATTGTAAAGGGGAGCAGACGTATTTTGGAGACACATCCTCTTCTGGAGTCATCTCTGCCCAAAATTCATCTCAGACAGAGGTTAATACTCTACATCAGATAGAAGCAAACTCTGGCCCACACAGGATTTGCCACAATGAGCTAATTAAGTCTTTATGGTTCAACAGGGCTCCTTGTTGTATTTATTATGACAAACCAACAAGGCTACATAGCTACCCCTCTGGATGCAATCATCTTACCCAGAAGATCCGATGCTTTTGCACACAGCAAGGAGAGGTCTCTTCTCAGCAAAGTTATCACTCTTCTCACGATCTGAATAGAGCAGAACATAGACACACACAAAAGCATTTGTTACATATTTGCTGCCCTGAATTATTAACCATACAGAGATCAAATGGCTTATAAAGCTGTTATTAAACCTAAATACAGTGCACAGTTTTAAACAACTACTCTGGGCAGTTACTGCTTTTGCTCTACAAAACTATGAATGGCTTGCATTTACATATGCAGACCATATCTGTAAGTACAGTTGCCTCAATTTAAGTGAAGTGCTACCTATACTCAAAACTGAGCTATGACATCACATGAGCTATCACCTTAAAATCTTAAGTAGCCTTGAATTAGACTGCCCTGAGGACCACTTTCGCTCGTATGAACTTGTCCAAACTGAGATCAGGCTCCAAGGCCCTGCTGTCTGTGTATCTCTCTCTCTCTCCCCCTAATTACTTAAGGTCCAATTGGTAACTGAGAGGATTATGGCCACATTCCTGCTGAGCCCAACAGGCTCTTTCTCAATTTCACACTCTCCTTGTTCTTAGATTGCGTCTGAAGCCATTTCTGCTCTGGGAGGCGTTTCATAATGATGAAAAGTTGACTATGTTTAATAGTGCAATATAACTTTCTGTATATTCTGTATTTTCCCGTATTTTATTTGAGTTATTTTTATCATGCCCAGAGATATTTTCACAAAGTGACATACAAAGAATTAAGGGGTTTGACACAAGGACTTATAACCAACTTCTCAGGAAGCTGGATTTGAACAAACCAATCTTTTAGGCTTATGGCTTTCCTGAAGTTGTAAAGCAGGAGGGTGTTTTGTTTTTCAGTGTATTCTATGTTGAGAAGTTCATTGGAGATGCACATTCATCTCTAATAACATGTAGGGCAACGCTTACTGAATAGGTCATATCACTTTGAACTGTATGGGGTAGCATGCTCCAGCACATTACAATCTTCATTTTAAAAAAAGCCTATTCCAGCCCATTTTTTTTCTTGACTCGACAGAAAATCTTCTTTGTGAACCAGTCACAAGCCTTAAACAAATGTTACTGCAAACTTGTCAAACACAGAGATGTATCCACGAACATTGTTGGTGATACTTATGGAAGATCCACAAATGAAATAGTTAAAGCAGCTGAACTATGCTCAACTATGTTTAAGTATTTTCTGTTATTTATTTTTTAGATTTTTTTTTAGTATAACAGTAAAACCATATTTTAAAAGAGTTAAGAATCTTCCTAACAGTTGGCTTCTTTCTCATTAGAATTCAGGCCATTTGATCAACAGAAAATATTGCTGAAAAGCCATTCACAAAGCTTAATTCACAGTTTAACCATGGTATTCTAAAATGAATTAATCTGAAATAATCTGAACAGAAAAACCATTAACACAGAAAGACAGATTTTTCACTCAACAGTATTCCTGAAGATTAAAGAGCCTGAGTAGTATCTGTGCACTTAAAAGGTTTACCAATCATCTACAGAATTCCTCCTCCGCAATTATGTCTCAGTTTATTCAACATTTAATGACTCACAGAGACAGTTTTACCATCAACAATCCCTTCTATGAGCACATTTGCATTATATGAACCCTTTGTTGATAAACATTTGAAGCCCTTTTAAGAAACTCAGGCAAACAAAACTGTCACTCCCAACAGACCAACTCAAGTTTGCCTAAAACACAAGAGTTGCACTGAGGATTCTGTATCCCAGGAAAATACTTTTTTTAGAAAAAGATCCTGAAGAAATTTGGTATTTGCTAACACAGCCTTTTAATTCAACTCTAACAGTGCCTAGTGGTTCTGCAAAGACAGAAATGGATCTACTGAAAAACAAGAGTTACCTAAATGCAAAAGTGCCATCTTTTAATTTAATTTAAAAAGGACAATCAAATGCGAGCTATATAAACAATATTTCTAGGGATGCACATTCCATGCTAAATCATGGTTTATAATTAAAAATGCCCTTGATTCATGGAACACACTACTGTAAGCCAAATCCAAACAAGTTCTGTAATGGCTTCATACAATGTGTGAGTTCAGTCACTCTCACATGTAACTGGAAAATAAAGGAAAGGATAAAGCATACATAATATATTTGCCTGCATCAACTCCTGGCTCTTAGGTATTCCACAGGAAAACAAGGCAGGCTGAAACTCCCAAACAGGAGCAGTCATTTTTAAGATAGAGTATGAGGATACAAAGCAACACATATGCATACACACATTTATATATACATACATACATACATACACAACCAAATACATATACATTTTTTCTCTTTTTTATCCAGGGGTTGTGTCTGAAACTGAAAAGTCAGTATTCTAGGCCCATTCATTCTGATGGGGAAGGGTCAGCACAACAGTACGCTGTATCAACCTTGCCATTTTCCCAGTCACCTTTCAGATTCAGTTTAAACTGCTGGAAATTACTGACAAAATCATGACATCACTTCAACATAGCAAAGAACCTGCCCCCAGAACAACATGTCACAGAAGATTTTCAGATTGGGAAGGTTCTTTAAGTCTACCATTCCTGCCCCAACTGTGGATTGTAAGGTTCTGCACAGAAGCCCCTCAGAAACAAATACTGAAAAAAGAATAGAGAAGTAATGTAAACATTAAAACATTTCCTTAAACACATACTTTTCTTTTCCATAGATCTGAAAGTAAAGCTTGTCCATTTTTCTGGGAAGACTGAAATCAAGTTGCTGCTTGCTGAAGGTGGGACAGCTTATTTAATAAATAATACAATTTTAAAGTTGGCCATCAGAGGTAGCACACACATTATACTTTCTTGGATCACTGTGTAAAAGACACAAATGGTAGCTAATCACCACTCTGCCAGTAATACTTTCTATTTTTACATGCAATGAAGCTTAAAAAATATTACTAAATCTCAATGATTTAGGAATGGGCGACTGGAATGTGGAGGAAGGTGAACAACTTCATAACCCAGCCTACTTTCAAAATCCCTATGAAGCCAATACTGTCATACAAGTAATCCACTGGGGTGGGGCAGAAATGGGAGAGAGAACAGATACAATGCACCATGATCCTGAATGCCAGCATCTGACAGCAGGAATGACACAAAGATTGGGAAGACCCTCCGTGGAGATATACACGCCATCAGATCCTTGAAACAGTCTCCTTCCATAGAAGCAGAGGATTTGACTTTAAAAATCTCTTTTTAAAAACTTGCAGCCAATACCAAGAGCTTTCTAGGCTGGATTTTGTTGCATTTCTAGCTGCCCTGGGAAACAGCTCCCACTAGGAATCAGGTCTGGAGCAACGCATATTCTATGAACTCTTCGCTCATGTTTGCCAAGTTCCTGACCCTTAAACTTTACAGGTTGATTTCCCTATTGCTTACCAAGTTGTGGACCTTGACATCACCTTACATAACAGACAGCTTTCTTGATTGCCGACTTATTCCTATTGACCCTGTGCTTCACCTTGATCATTCCATTGCACTGACCTTCAACTTCAGGGACCACAGATATAATTCATTCAGTTCGGTTCTGATTCTATTCACTGCCAGCTTCAACCCACCTATTACTTGCATAGGATACCCAAAAGACCTTCTCCAAAGAAATGCAGACATCAAAGCTTCTCCCTTCATACTGTAAAGGGAGTAATTCACAACACTCAACCCTTGGCATACATGGTTTAAGGGGTTTCACTTCTTAAAAGAGCCAAAACCTTGGAGCTGATTTTTATAGTGCAGTTGAAAAGCACAATACACTTTAGACTGGAAAGCCCAAGTTTCAGCTGACATTCAGGGTCAATATTCATTACTTAATGAACTGAGCTGAGCCCTGGGATTTCCTGCTGGTCTCTCATCCAAGTACTAACCACACTTGGCCCTGCATAGCTACTGAGCCCAGACAAGATCAGCCAGCTCCTATCACATTCACATCTAGAAATGAAGCAGAACAAAATGAAACAATCAATTTCAAGAGATGTTCATAAACAGATTTTTTATGGACTACTCTGAAGTAATTCAGAGCATCAGGTTAACTGTATGAAGTACAGAATGGCATCTCCCGCATCTGCAGAGTCTTTAACAAAGGAGGCATCTGCCTCACCCACAAGCTGACAAGGGTGGGAGAGGGAAGGGATTTATCCTTCCAAATTATAGTGAATTACAGGGTTTTTAAAAATATATGACATTGTGTGTTTTTTATGTGCAACTCACTGCCGCGACACACCTGCTCCGTACAGAATATTTAACAAAATGCCAAACAGCATTTTATAGGGAATATTTTCTTAAGCCCACAGCTTGCCAAATCCATCAAATCAAAAAGGTATAGAAATCCTGTTGCAAAAGGCTTTTTTTCTTTAACTCCTTTTTATTCCAAATCCTTTTAATTCTGTCATAACACTCTTGCATTTAACCCGCAAACCCTCCTCCCCAAAGCTGAAAATCCTGATAAACCACACAATTAAAGTAATGAAAACTGTCTCTCCTGCCAACAAGGTGCCACACCTCCTCCACAGTCTTGTTTAATGGAATCATACGGAAGGAAGGAAGGAAGGAAGGAAGGAAGGAAGGAAGGAAGGAAGGAAGGAAGGAA